AGTCCTTCCTGCTCCAAGAGCTCTGGGACAGTTGCTCCCCACACACACCCTGCCTGGGGACACACCTGTCCCATCAGAGCTGCGGATGCCTTCACCCCTTAGCCCACCCTGCAAGGTTGCCCGCTGGAGGGTGCCCAGCCTCTTGCATGTCCTGCAGATTGGGCAAGAGAGCTCCCCATCTGTTTAGTCCTCAAGATGATATTCAGGACACCTGGCACCAAGAACTCAGGAAGGCAGAGGGCAGGCCCACCCCCACCAGGGGGCTTTCAGATGCTGTGCCAGACTGGGGCAGCGAGGTCCAGAAGCACGGCCCTGGAGTCTGTGGAGCAGGGCAGAGGATGGGTGGGAATGAACAGGGTTTGAGGAAGAAAGATGCTCAGTGACAACTATTGCTACCTTCTTGTCAGGAGCAAAGGAGAGGGAAGAAAATCAAAGAACTAATGGGCCATTAAGTCACATACTCCACTAACCTGAGAACAAGAGTAGATGGTGTCCAGCTACCAAGGCCAACTGCTCTGATCCAACCAGAAGATCCTGGTCAGAGAGGGAGGAAGGTTCCAAAATCATAAAAAAGACCAGACTTACTGGTCTGATAGAAACTGGTGGTGCCTTAAGACTCCCTTCAAGCCTAGAATCGAATCTGCCTCTGGGACTCAAATTTCCATCAAACAACAAACAGGCTTACAAAGTGAAGAACAACACACAAGAATCATATTCCTCAGTATAATCCACCCTACGAGACCAAACAGCAGCATTTGTCCCCAAAACAACACCCATAAGGCAGGGAGGGGCAGAAGAGGACAAATGGACAAAGGAAAGCCGGAGAGAAACGGAGGAAATGCCAGTGCACTGAGGGGACTGCAACCAGTCACAAAACCGCCAACCAAGCCAAGTGCCTGGGGTCAAATCTGCCTCACAGCGACCAGAGAGGGCAGAGCTGCCTTTGTGGGTTTCTGAGACTGCTGCTCTTTACACAGCTGGGAAGCCTCGTCTTTCTCTTGGTCACAAAACAAAATGTGTGCAAACTGACCAATTATTTTAAAAATAAACACCAAATTGCTCTGTAGACTTTCACCCAAACTACAATTTTTTTTAAGTAGGAAAAAAAAACACCTCATTAGGCATACTAAAATGTTCAACGACAGTTTGAGGACATTAGCAAGATTGATGCAGACCAGGAGCAACTAGTCCAGCCATCATGGGCATGTGACCAGGAAGGTCAGGACTGGCTCCTTCACCAGGAGACCCTCCCTTCCCAGACGTCCCCCTCACACAGAGCTCATGAGGCTCAAATGTGAATCGCAGGAATGATGGACTGGCAGTGTCCTCCACTCTGCAGTGCTGGACACAAGAGCGAGGCATGGCCCTCCTCCAACAATGTGATGCCACAGAGGTGAGAATTTTAAAACGATTGCATGCATTCTTGTGTGTGTACACGGGCATTACTGTTATGTTCAAGAAGGATCTGGAAGAATAAACTCATAGCTGGTAATTCTGCAGGAAGCAATTGGAGGGGAGGGCACTCCTTTGGCACTTTACAAATTTCCATAGGGCATCGAATTTTCTTCACATAGGTCATGTGACTAGGGCAATCAGGGCAAAGAAAACAGCACACACACAAGCCAGTAGGGTCGGGCAGACCTTGCTGGGGCTTCGCCTAAGGTGAGGATATGGATTTAAGTCTGTGTGCAGGGAGACCAGCACCCCACATGCTCAGTGAAGGAGAATTAGAGTAAGAGTAATGAGGACAAAAGGGGGCCCTTGCTCAGACTGCTAGAACAGGGGAAAGCTGGAGGTGGTTAGGGCTTTTTACAACAAAATCAAACCGTCAACTCATAAGCTGTCGGAGTTTGGAAGCCACCAGTTGCTCTTTCTGGTAAAGATGTGGCGGTCTACTTCTGAAGAGATTTAGTCTTGAAACACTATGGGGCAGTGCTGCTCTATCCTATAGGATTGGAATTTACTGAGGAGGAGTTTGTGTTTTCGGAAAAACGCACTGGGTGAGCAGGCATGGGATACAAGTTGGGGAGGGAGAATCCTGAAAGATGGAGTCATTGGATTTCCAAGACTGTAACTGTTCATGGGAGTACAAAGCTCCTCCTCAGAGCTGCTAGTGGTTTCAAACTGCCAACCATGCGGACCGCAGCCCAACGTGTAACCACTTCACCACCAGAAAGATGTTATTAAAAGAGATGCAAACAGATACTAAGGATATGGGGAATGGGCGGGGAACCAGGAGTAACCGCTGTAGGAACGAAGAAAGTGCCGGAACCTTAACTGCGATTTTCCCCACTCGGAGACCCGGACAAAAGGAGCCGGCCCTCCTGGCTCCAGAAGCCACTTCCGGGATCGGTTCGGCCTCCGCCGGACTCCACATCCCAGTAGTCCCCGCGCCACCTGTGTCAGAGGACCGCCCTTAGGAGTCCAGTGGTACTCCTTCCCCACCCGCACACGCTGACCCGGGGTTTCCCTTACCTCCGGCCTTTCCGCACCCGGACTCAACACCCCGCGCGTGACCTGTCCCTTGGCGACAACCGACCACCCCAGGTAAGAGCGTTTCTGACACCCCAGACCACTTCAGGCGTTTTATCCTCCTACCGTCGCCACCTCGGCCTGTCACACGTGGAACGTCTCTGTGGCAACGACCCCGGGGCTCAGTACCAGAGAGCGTACGTTTTCCGAGGGGCCTTCTGGGAAATGTAATCCATGGGTCCCTCGGTGAAACCAGGGGTGCAGTGTTTCCGAAGCAGCAGCTAGCTGGCTGGCACCGCTCCCGAGGTGGCAGTGGACCACGAGGACTTCCAGGAAGGGTAATTCTCAGGAGCTTATTCTTGCCCCTCCAGCCACCTGCTGTGAGCTACACCTCCCTCCTTGGCCTACTGCCCCCAGTTTACTGACTAGCCCCTGCGACACGCGGCACCCTGAACCAGCTGTTTCCCTGGGTCGTCATGAGCAACATTCTGAGGACTAGGGCGCTCGCTATCCCACCCCACCCCCAGAAAGTTTTACCAGCTGTGCCATCCTCTGCCCCGACTGAATAGCCTTCACATGAACCATGACCTGTCTGGGCTGACGACAACTCCTGAATCTCGTCTCACCAACCCTGCTCAATCCCCCAAGCAACCCCGTGCTTCTGAGCACCTAGTACGTGAAGAGTGCAACGGGTTTGCCCAGTCACCTGGATCATAAAGAAAACAACATCGCTTTCCCAGCTCTGCTCTCATTGGACCCCCTGCGCACAGAGCACTTTCTAGGTCCCCCCTTCCTGGGCCCCAGCCACTGTGGCATGTTGCCAACAGGACACACACACACACACACACACACAATGAAAGATAATAGCCTAACAGTCTAGACAGAACTGAAACTTCTACCTAAAGTCTGGGCCACACCTGTCCTTGTCCTGGGCAACTCCATTTTATTTTTAGAAAAAAACAAACAGCTTCTATCATACTATGCAGCCTGGCACCTTTGACCGGGATACATATAAAGACAAACCAAACCCACTACCACCCAGTCAATTCTGACTCATAGAAAACCTACACAATGCTTTGCAAATGATGATGGTGACAAATGTGCTCAACACAATGGATGTATGTATGAATTGGGATGAGTTGTATGAGCCCCCATAAAATGATTTTTAAAAGAAAAAACCCTAGAGGAAAAATAATTTATAAATTACCAAAGGTTCATGAGGGAGGGAGGGTGGGGAAGGATAGAAAATGAGCTGATATCAAAGGCTCAAGTACAGAGAAAATGTTTTGAAGATGATGGCAACCTATGTACAAATGTGCTGGACACAATGTATGGACTGTGATAAGAGATGTAAGAGCCCCCAACAAAATGATTAAAAAAAAGAAACCCTATAGAGCAGTGGTTCTCAACCTTCCTAATGCTGCAACCCTTTCACACAGTTCCTCATGTTGTGGTGATCACCCCCTCAACCATAAAATTATTTTTGTTGCAACTTAATAACTGTAATTTTGCTACTGTTGTGAACCGGGTGACCCCTGTGAAAAGGTCATTTGACAACTCCCCAAAGGGGTTGCAATGGCTGCTATAGAGGGTTTCCAAGGCTGAAATCTTTACCGTGCAGGTAGCCTCATCTTTCTCTCAAGGAGTGATTGATGGGTTTGAACCACAACCTTTCAGTCAGCAGCCCCAGCACTCACCAGATAGCACCCCAGCATTGTGGGTTTGACCGCCTGATACCTCTGACCCACCCTCAGTGGCTCATCCTGCGCTGGAACATGGAGCTACGTTATTTTGATAGAGTTGGAGGGACATCTAGGGATGCCTTCGGTTACAGTTTGGGAGGCAGGTGCCCAAGCGGGAATGAAAGGGTGTCTAAAGAGTAGGGGGCTGCCCACTGGAGCAGTTATCTAGAGCTCAGAAAAGTTAGGCTGGGAACCAACCCTGAGGTGGCCACTGAGCCCAAGAAATGGAAGAATTTCTCAGAGAGCACCAGACCCAGAGAAAGCCTCAGAGTCGCAGAAGGCTAACTGCAGTGGCTACAGGGAGCCTTGGAGAACACATCTCCAAACCAACAAGCATTACCTGGTGCCAAAGACCACAATGGGGTAAGGACAAGGGCCAACAGGACTCAAGCACGAGGAGGACACCAGAACCCTTGGCCAGGCAAAAGACCAAAACAGTTAGGGAAAAGGGCATGGGAAGTGAGCAGGGAGGTGCCAAGTGCAGGGACCTTGGAACATCAGCTGGAAAGGCCCTCGATGGAGCAGTGGTTCATCCCTCAGCCTTTAGCCCCTTCACTGTCACCAGAGAGGCTGCCCTGGTGGGCTGTGCTGGACAACTGTTACCTGCGGGGCTGTGTGTCTGTCACAGTGGGCACTCACGGACTTCACAGCTCACCCACCAAACAGGAAGAACCATTCTCCCATCGGTCGCCCCCCACCCCCATCAACGACACTGTGAATGGCTGCAGGAAGACCATGCGGCATGAGCTGTGAAAGCCACGGGTGGGGAGGCAGAGGCGGCAGAGCTCATGTAAGGTCTGCTCCTGACGTGGGATCCACAGAGAGAACCAGCGCAGCAGCCCTGCTGTGTCTTCCTGGGCCTGTGGCCTCTGCTGCCCGACAGTCTTCCACAGACCCTTCCTGAGGGCCTCCAGGCGCCTCCCCAGCCGCAGAGACTATCAGAGCCTGCGGCCTTCTGTCCCGATGCAGCTCCCGCAGATGGGCGAGGGCGCTGTGGACGGCCCGACACACCCGTAGGCTGCGTTCCCGGTTGGGATCATTGTCTACCAGGACCTGCAGACCAGTGGCAAAGTGGGACAGGGCCTGGGCCATGTACTCAGGGCTCAGCCTGCCCACAGCCACCTCCTCAGTTCTCCCAGGCTCCCTGACCCTGGTGAGCTCCTGCGCTGGGCTCTGGGACCCCAAGCCTTTCCCTTCCTCCCACATTGGCCCAGCGCAGCCAGCCTTCCCACCCTGTGCTTCCTGGGGGCTGGTGTGGGGCAGGGGTTCGCCATGGGCCTGCAGCAGGCAGGCCACGTCAGTCTCAGCCAAGTCCCCAAGGCCCACATGGCTGGCCAGTGCCACAATGCTGCGGCGGAGCTGGGGCACTGTGTCTGGCTCAGGGGCACCGATGGGCACACACTCGGGCCACAGCTTCCGCCAAGCACCATTCATCACAGCCGGCCGGAGCTCTGCCCAGGCCTCGGCGATGTTGTCTACCGCGGTTATGACAGTGTAGCTGCGCCAGAACTCGTGCACAGAGGGCCGGTCTTCCCCAGCCGTCTCCTGCACCAGCTGGCTGAGTGTGCGCCGCAGGTAATGGGCCTTGAAGGCGGCGATGACGCCCTGGTTCATGGGCTGGATCAGGGCCGAGGTGTTCTTGGGTAGGAACTCAACTCGCACCTGGGCCGAGAGGCCGTCCAAGTGGGCAGGGTGGCAGGGTGCACTGTCCAGGAGCAGTAGGGCACGGTTCGGGAGGCCATGGCGGGTGCAGTAGCTCTCCACAGCTGGGCAGAAGCAGCCAGTAAACCACTCCTGGAAGATGCTGGGCGTCAGCCAGTCATTGCGGTTGGAGCGCCAGACCACCGGCAGACTGGCCTTGGGGCAGCCCTTGAGGGCCCGTGGGTTCTCCGAGGGGTACACCAGCAAGGGCTTCAACTTGAAGTCGCCAGCCGCGTTGCCACCGAGGAGCAGGGTCAGGTGATCCTTGGATGCCTTGGGTCCCGGCCCAGCTGCCCGCTCCAGCGCCAGCAGCGTCCGCTCAGGCAGCCTCTTCCAGAAGAGGCCTGTCTCGTCGACGTTGAAGACCTGCTGTGGCAAGTAGCAGCCCTCCTCCAGGATGGCTCGCAGCACTGTGGGATAGCGGGCGGCAGCCTGGGCATCGGCCACGGCCGGCTCATCCGTCAGCAGCACGTTGTGGCGTGCCTTGAAGCGCGCAAACCAGCCATTGCTGGCTCCAAAGGTCTCGGCCTGGGCGCCCTCTCCCTGCTGGCGCTGCAGCTCTGCGAAGAGCCGGCGCGCCTTGTCCTGGATGAGCTGTGTGCTCACGGGCAGGTTCTGTCGCTTCTGCTCCTCGATCCACAGGCTCAGCAGCCGCTCCATGTGGCCCATCACCACACTCCGACAGCGGGTCAGCTGAGTGGCGCTGAGTGGCGTGGCAGCCTGGGAGTTAGCCCGGATCTTCTCCTTATTGACGCGGATGGAGGCCACGGTGGACGTGGCCAGCCCCAGTGCCCTGGCGATATGTGTCAGCTTCTCGCCTTCCTCAAACCTCCGCAGCACCTCCAGCTTCACATGCAAAGTGATGGACTTCCGGTCCCGCTTGGTGCTGCGCCGGATGCCAATCCTGCCCACAGGGGCCTTCCCCCGCACCTGCAGGCGGGGGGCTGCCTGTGGGGTGGCTGTCTTCATCCCACCTCCCAGAGCCAGGCACTTCAGTGGGCCTCCTACCTCCTGCCCGTCCACGCAGCTGCTGGCCCTCTCCGGTCACACCTGCCTGTGCCTGTAAGGAGGGAACACACAGGCATTGCTGCCCCCAGCACTGCCAACCTCCACCCAGGGCCATACCCTGCTCCGCCCCCTCTGCCACTGCAGGCTTACTGCCCAACCTCCCTCGGGACTCAAAATGTACGCTCCTCAGTTTGGGCTGAGGAGACCAGGAGAACCTGCTAGGGCGCTTGATCCTGTGGCCCCAGTAACATAACTACTGGGCCATCGCCCAGCCACACACGAAAACCAAGCATCAGAAGACCCTGATCCATTTCCCAGATCCTGGTAAGCAGAGGAGCCACCCATCTATATGCTCCTGGCTTGGGGCTAGCAGGCAGTATGACAGGCTAACCAATGGTATCCAAGGGGCCACTGAATGTCCTGAGCCTGTGAATGCTGCTTTGTGAATGTCCCGTGAAAGAACTTTGCAAGGTGGTGATGTTAAGTTCTTGAGAAGACGCTATGAGACCCTGGTGCCCCAACACCTGGGCTTCTCTGAATCCAAAAGATGATTCTTTACACAAAGTCAAGTGTTCCAAAGCATCTTTGTCTCACAGTACACATTCATCCTTGGTGGAATGTCTGCTACAGGCTAGAGACAGCCACTTCTGAGAGCCGTGAATAAAACAATGTGGTTGGCAGAACCATGTGATTGATGGAACAGATCTGTGATCAGCAAAGATGTCCACAGAACCCACAACTATGTCACCTTCAAAGGCAACGGGGAGTAAGGTTGATGATGAAACGAAAGCTGCTCATCAGGACACTGGGGATAGGAGAATGGTCGTGGCCTACCCATGTGGGCCTGGTGCCTCAAAAGCAATAGGGAGGCAGAACCAGAAAAATAAGAATTAGAAAAATGTATCATGAACAAAGCCAACCGGCCAGCACTGGCCTTGGAGATGGAGAAATGGGTCCAGGAGTCACTTAAGATGACCTGCAGGAGCTGGAAAAGACAAGGGATTAGATCCTCTCCTAGAACCTCTAGATGGGACCAGCCCAGCTCACACTTTGATTTTAGGCCTATAAATGCATTTTCACGGTGGTGCTAACAGCGAAGTCAACACTTCAAACCCACAAACCACTCTGCAGAAGAAAAGATGACGCTTTCAGCTTCCACAAAGATTTATAGCCTCAGAAACCACATATAGGGTACTATGTGTCAGAATCAACTCCATTAGCAACAAGTTTGCTTTGGCTAAGATCCATTTTGGCCTTCTGACCTCCAGAACTGTGAAATAACTCATTTGTGTTGTCTCATGCCACAAAACTGGTGGGGATTTGTTAAAAAGCTAGTACAGATGAGAACTACCTTAGTGCCACCCCTACAGGACGGGGTAGAACTGTCTCTGTGGGTTTCCAAGACTCAAGCCTTGAAGGGAGTAGAAAGCCTCATCTTTTCTTTTCTCCCACAAATCAGCTGGTGGTTTTAAACTGTTCACTTTGGGGATTAGCAGCCCAACTCATAGCCCACTACGTCACTAGCGATAGAGCTGATTCAGTAAAACCCAAGTCCTCCCCTCTGCTGCCGAGGAGTAAAAGCCTAGGTCCTCACAATCCCAGAAGTCTACCCTCAACCCTGAGCTCTTCTTGAATATCTGCACTGGCATTTTACTTCACCTCCTGCAAGTCTCTGCTCAAATATGTCATGGTCAGCCCCACCCCCACGCGTGTATCTTGCTGCCTATCACATGCTGCCTGAGGCCAGGAGCTGTGTCCACTGAGCCCACTGTGTAGCAGAGGCTGGCCCGTAGAAGGACCCACTTGCTGAATAATTCTCAAAGGAAGCACAGCAGTGGGAGGCAGCCTTCTGTCTCTTTTGTACTTTGAACTATGTAGATGTAGCACCTGATCAAGGAAGCAGAACTTCACAAGAGTGCTTGTGAAAGGCACAAACACATGCGACGGCTCTGGGACAGGAACCTTCGGGGACCCAGGACTCACCCGGTTTGAACAAGACCGATCAGCACAGCACAGAGCAGCCCGCAGGGCCATCAACCACGGGGGTGGGGGGCAGGGAAAGTCAGGTGGCCGTGGGGTAAACTGCCGGGAGTCAGACCCTCCAGACCCGTGTTCAGAGCATTTGCATACCCTCTCCCACCCACGCTTACACCTACACGCCCACAATTAAGGTTAATTCACTCATTATCTCTCTCACCCATCTACCCACTCTGGAGAGGTAGCCCCCAAGCCCGCCACCTGGCAAGTCTCGCCGCCAAAAGTCTGGTTGGAAAACGGGATTCGCCCCCGAAAGACTACATTTCCAGGCATCGGCAGGACGGTCGGAAAACGCGCACCCGTCCAGAGACGGAAAAGGCCCGCGAGGGGACAGCAGAGCCAGAAAGGAGCGGCACACCCCCGTCTCAGGGTCGTGGGCGGGGAAGCCCTAGCACCCAGGAAAGACGGGTATACAGTCCGCACATCCTGCAAGACAGACTGGGAAGGCTCGCGTGACTACATTTCCCAGCCAGTCGTGGGGCCCCCCACAACGCTCCAATTGGTCCACCTACACGTGTCACAGGCTACGCATCCAGCGGCCGTACTCCCGTTCCCCTCCTCCTCCAAAAGCTGAACGTGACCGCGCCGTAGCCCCCCGTCTCCGGAACTGGGACTCCCGCACGACCGCTGGCCCTCACCTCCGGGCGGCAATATGGGCTGCCTGTCTCCTCGGAACAGCGACCCTTCTCCATCTCCCGCTCAAGGTCCCACTACCCGGGGGCGGCCGAGCCCAGCTTCCATCTTGGCGGGGCCGGAGGAGGGCAGGACACGGTTGCCAGGCGACGGCCGGGACTGCTGCAGGCCGCTTTGAGCCCGCCCCCGGCGACACTCCCGAAGGCTTTTGGGAAATGTAGTTCAACTGCGTTTCCGATACGCACAGCGTCGGCGGGGGGGGAGCGGGGGAGCGCGCCCTTGGCTGCTTCTGACCTGGGCTACTTTTCTTTCCGTCTACTTTCCATCATCCTCCCTGCCTCCTTCCCTTGTCTTGTCTTACCAAACTAATTCTCTTCAGAATGTGAAGTATAATATTCACAAAAATTGAAGACCTGACTCTCATACATATCCGCAGCTTTTTGCACACTGCGTGCATGGGTCGAAGATTTTATTTACCTCACTGAGGGAACCAACAAAATCATTTAGGTGGCCTCAGCAAGAAGGTAGAGAAGAAACCAGAAAGTGAAATAATAAAAGAACATTAAGAAATGCAAAGTGAGGCACAAAGCTGTGCCTACAAGTGATAACAACATAAGCTTTGGGGGTTCTCTTTTCTACAAGACAAAAAAAAAAAAGCGTTTGCAACTTGCAACATTTTACACATTACCATCTAATTCGCAGTAACTGAACTCTTGCCAAAAGTGGCATATTTTAAAGAGAGCTGCTTTGCTGGCAGAGTTGGATGAACTGAGGCAGCTTGATGGGCAGTACCAGGAAACTCAGTAAGAGGTCCCACTAACTCCCCCACCCTAGCACCACCTTACACTCACATTTTGGATTCGTTTTCCTAATAAGTGTTCCTCTGACTGTCCATCTCTCCAACGCTCTAATTTTGCCCCTCTCTCTTGCCTGCCCCCTGGAACCTTGTTGAGCCTCGTGCACCTCCTCTGTGGCGACATCCTCCCTCTCTCCCACTGGGGTGTCCTCTCTTCTGCATCCCTTTCGCATCTACCTTGATCTCGCTCTTCTGACACATCTGCCTTCCCATCCCCAACTCTGAAAACTGTCTTTCGTCCTCTTTCTCTTCGACCCAGATCGCTGTCCCTATGTCTCTGACTCTGTTTCTAAATCACTTCTTTTCACTGTCTCTCCCTCACCAACGTTGGCGCTCTTGTCTCTCCTTGCCCCCAGGCAGCCGCTGCTCTAGTCAATGTCTCTCATCACTGTCTTCCAGTCCAGAGTCTCAGCCCCAGCTAACTCTTGGCCTCTGACTGTGCCTTGTGGTTCTGGTCTCTTCACGTCTGTCTATGCCACACTGTCTCTGCGGCTCTCTTTCCCCTCTCCTCCAGCACTCTCAAGCCGACAGTACCAGGCCAGACGGCCCGCCCCCGTCCCCTGAAGACGCCTCCTGAAAACATACCGGAACCTCAGACGCCAACCCTGAGGGCAGCACGGACTACACCTCCCACAAAACACTGCCCCGAGCCCTCCAGAGAAGGCGCCCCCTCCCTGCGGGTAACCTGGCAGGTTACCATGGAGACCTAGGAGACGGGCAGGTTTAACGGCACTCTGGCCAGAGTACTGATTGGTGCAGCGCCCTGCTAATCCCCGAAAACCCTTAGAGATGAAGGAGCCGCGATGAGAGGCATGCGCGGTCGGGAAGGCGGTGCTGCTGGACTGAGAAGCTGGCCGCGCGTAGGCGAAGGCCGGACGCCTGGGTCGGAGGCGGGAAGAGGCGGCTCGGGACGCGACCTGGTCGTTATGACCACCGCTACCTTGGGGGCTGGGCAGGGGCGGAAGCGAGGGTAGAGGAGGGGCTGACGCGTGGAGCCTTCAGGGAAACGTAGTCCGCACTAGGAGGGAAGCCCGGCGAGTGCGCACGCTCAGGGACACGGAGCTGCCCGCGGAGGGCGAGACCTCGCAACCGGGAAGATTCGGGGAGGGGCCTGGGCGGAGGCTCGACTCCGGGATTCCAGCTGCTCGGCGGGACCGGAAGGACGGGATAGAGACCTGAACTTTCGGGGCAGAAGGTCCCGACGTAGTCGCGCGACAGCTGTCAATCACCACGAGTTTCTACGCGCCCAGACCGGTTTAGACGCTGTCCGGACCTATAGCGGAAGTTACCCGCCAGGCCTGCTGGGAAGTGTAGTCCTGCGTTCTCCGCAAAGTCCGGCTGGCGGGGAGGTGACCCAACTTTCTCCGTGGGTTTCTTTCAGGTTGCCTGGGGTCGCGAGGAGTGGAGATTTGACCTAGGTGGTCAGGTGGCCATCGGAATTGATTCCACCGATGAGGTGCCCTCTGAGGAGTCACCTCTTTAATAAACATTCTTCCACAAAGCCCTTCTCCCCAGATGCAGGAGTGTCAGTGCGTGAGAGTGTCAGTGCGTGAGAGGGTCATCCGTATAAGGGAATAAGGGATCTGTCAGAGCCACAAAACAAATGGTGACAGAGGGCTCAGGGTCCAGTGCTTTCTCAACATTGCAGACTTGCTCCTCTTCGCCTTCCTGTTGCTCTTAGACCCATTGTGGGGAGCAGAGAACGGGAAGAGAGTGTTTACGGATGAATCCTTTATTCTCATATTAAGACGCCTGGCAGGCTGGGTTTCTGGGATGGAGGGAGGCCTTCACCTTGTGACGTGGGAGGTGCGTCTCAATCACATTCTCATAATTAATATTTTTCCCCAGTGTGTCCTCCCATAATAGTGCTACCTTAAAGTTACTTCTTACAAGAACTTGGCTGATTGCTACCCTGTTTCCCCGAAAATAAAACAGTGTCTTACATTAATTTTTGCTCCCAAAGATGCGATAGGTCTTATTTTCAAGGGATGTCTTATTTTTCCATGAAGAAGAATACGGTACACATTTATTGTTTATTGTTTTATTAAAAGAGACCTCGCACTTCCTGTCTGCTCCAGCTGCTCTGTGGCCAACAGTGAGCTGTGTGGTGGCGCCCCACCGCTACAGTCCAGAGTCCACAGTTACAGTAGCTTGGGGAGGCAGGGAGGGCCTTATTTTCGGGGGATGCCTTTTATTTCAGTGAGAGGCAAAACTGTAAGTAGGTCTTATTTGGGGGGATGTCTTACTTTCAGGGAAACACGGTATGTAGCCGGCAGCTTTAACTATAGGGGCAGACATGTGCTATTGTTCTCTAGGCTCTGAAGACAGCCACTCCTTCTTACCTGCCCCCAGCACTGGTGTTAGGTTACTCCTCCAGTGTACTCCGGGACCTTTAGAGTAAGGGTACAGCCCACATGGTTATCTATGGGGTTACCTGTAATTAGGGGGGCTTACATGACCCCCACCCCACCAGTGTATATATGCCTTGGTTGGAAATATATTCTCTCTCTCTCTGCATGGACCTGGCCCCTGGAGTCATGGTGGTCCTGGAGATGAGCACTGGCATGCCATGCAGGAGATAAGGGTGCATGATGTGGGTGATAAATTGGGCTCAGGATGGAGCTAAGGGCACATGGGGGTCTTCACACAGGTGGAAGAGGGCTGCCCTGTGGGGTTAGGCTGGAAGAGGGAGGAATGGTGAGACCAGGAGAAGCCAAGCCAGATCTGAGGGACTCTGTTTGGGCCAGTGGACATCAAATTAATGGGCAGGCAGCAGGGGTTACCAGGTGATCCTGGGTGTAGGTGCCACCCATCACTGTGTGAGGGCTGCAGGCCAGGAATGAGGTGGCACATGTAGAGCAAGGACAGAATATAGGGGTGAGAGGAGATGTTTTCAGGCCTGAGAAACAGCTTGTGCTTGGAGCAGAAAGCTGCAGGAGGTTTTCACAGCCACAGCAGAAGATGAGGGTAGTTCGCATGTGTCCAGGGCTGCCTGACCCAGGACCGTCCTCTCTGCTTCAGTGTCCTGGTCTGCTTTTCACATCTGAGAATCACAGTTGGGCACACAATAGGCACTCAGTAAACATGCTGCTGTCTGTCCTTATCCCAGGGCCCTCATCCCATTCCTCCGCCAGGGACAGACACTGGCCTCAGACACCCCTCCCTGTCCTCCTGATGAGGTCTGCCTCGATGGAGTCCCCGGGCCGGGCCCCATACCTCTGGAGGATGAAGGGCCAGTCACAGTGAAGCTGGAGGAGGCTGCTCCAGGGGACCCTGGCTCTGAGACTGCCTGCCTGTGCTTCCACGTTTCCACTACCAGGAGGTGTCCAGGCCCTATGAGGCCCTGGTCCGGCTGTGGGAGCTGTGCCAGCAGTGGCTGCGGCCCAAGGTGCACTCCAAGGAACAGATGCTGGAGTTGTTGGTGCTGGAGCAGTTCCTGGGCACCCTGACCCCCCGAGATCCAGGCCGGAGTATGGGGACAGCGGCCCAGCAGTCCAGAGGCAGCTGCAGCCCTGGTAGAAGAACTGCACTGGGAGCAGGGTGGCCCATGGGTGAGTCTTCATCCCTGGATGGGGGTCTCAGGCACAGGAACCATGTCCAGTAGAGGCACTGTGCTTGGACAGGTGCATGCCTCCAGGGGACCCCAACAATGTGGGGCTGGGTGACCTGGAGACCTGGGGCTGTGGTGAGAGGCATTTGGAACTGCACAACAGCTAAGGCTCAGGGGAAGCCCTGCAGGTTCTTCCTGAGTTTCCTGCTCCAGCTCTGAGGCAGCTGGGTTCACGAGGGCCTTGTTAGCAGGCCTTTTCCAGGTCTAGTCCTGGGTGTCCTACAGGGGCCAGCACCCATGAGCACCCTGCCTGGACCAACTAATGCCAGCACCTCCCCAGATCCCAGTCCAGGTGCAGGGCCAGGAGGTGCTCACTGAAAAGATTGGGCACTCCGGCTTCCAGCCCCGGGCACCAGAACCCAGCCCGGCAACGCCCCCGAGGGCCACTCAAGAATTGCCACTGGGACTTAGTGTGATAGAGGAGCCCGAGGTCACAGAGGACCTATGTGAGAGCAGGGCCCAAGACAAGACTTGGGTGTCAGGGCCTGGCTGGCTGGGCTAGAGTGGGGCCAGGTCCCCACAACCCCAGCAATGTCCATGTGCTGGCAACCCAACAGCCACCATAGCAGGCCCCACATAGGCACAGCACTTGGTCATGGCTCTCCACTCTTAGCATGGGGCAGGCTGCCAGGATTGTCCCTGAGCCAGGAAGGCTCACAGGAGGCCCACTCTGCCAGATATCCTTGAGGAAGGAGCACGGTTCAGACAGGAATGTGGATACTGCCAGTGTCGGGGAGCACTCACCCTCCCTGCCAACTCCCCAGTATTCTGCAATGAATGCTGTGCTGCTCCCCTCACCCCACTTCCCTTGGCCATCCCCCACCCCAGTCCTACCGCAGCTCCACCTACGGTGCCCTCCCCACTCCCCACGCCAGGCTTGGATTCCCTCTCGGGGAAACCCTCAGCCCTCTCCCTGGGCAGGACATTCGTGCACACAGTAGTCTGTCTCCCCATAGCCCCCACATCAGAAGGGCTGGGGCTCAAGGATGCCCTTGGTCTCTCTGACCCTGTCTCCTTCCTCAGCCTCCACACTCCTGGAGCCTCAGCCCAGCAATGTCACCCCCGAGGCCCTGCCTGCCCTCTTGCCTGAGGAAGCCCAGGTGAGCTCCCAAGCCCAGCCATGCCCTGGAAGGTGGCTTCAGGCCCTCCCTTGAGCCAACTCAGCCTGCAGGAATGAGCGAGCTCTCATCTGGTGGTGTCAGTGCTGCAGGACAACACACAGCAGGCATCCCCCAGGAGTGAGGCTAGGCCTGAGGGAGCCTTGTGGAGAAAACACCCAGAGGCCCTGTGGCAGGAAGAGGCTCCAGCTGTTTTCCCCATGGGTGAGTACAATGGGGCACGGTGAGGGCAGGGACAGTGAGCACCCCGAGCCTTCCACATCCCCTCCTGACCTGAACATCCTCTACAGCACCCAGGCCACTCCAGCATTTCCTGTGCTCAAAGCCCACTGACCCCACAGTCCCTCCACTACTTTTTTAGGGCAAACATCCCCATTCCCTCACCAAGAGCCAAGACTGTTCCCTAAGGCCATGGTCTCTCCCTACCCTAGGAACCCCGTATGACCCTCAGGCTCTAGACTTGCATGCTGTTGATTGGGGGAGTGGTGGGATGGAAGTGAGCAAGGGCAGATCCGATTAGTGGAGGGGGTGGGGTGGGGTCAGAATTAGCTAAGGATAGAGCAAGTTAGTTGACAAAGCAGGCAGGTAGGTGCACCCTTGGCACAGGAAGAGGACGATGTCACTTGGACAAAGAGCACTGGAGAAACAGGGTCAGTGGGCCTCCTCCTTGGCTGGCTGACTCAGACACAGCTCAAAAGTACAGACTCTGAAGCACATGGGTCCAACCTCACTACATTGGCAGTTTTGCTGGAGAAAGTGATTCCGATCAATCCTATCCCAAACATGTGTCACCTTTGCTGGTGAGCATGTTCCATTGGAAAGTCACACCTGTCGATTCTGGGCATTTGCCTCAGTGTTAGTCTGGGTTCACTAGAGAAACAAATCCAGAAACACTGATATGTGTATAAGAAAGAGCTTTATGTATAAGAGCAATTGAGTATTGAGAAAACATCCCAGCCCAGTCTAGATCAAGCCCATAAGTCTGATTTTAGCCCATATGTGCAATACCAATCTATAAGGTCCTCTTCAGACTCACACGACACATGCAATGACACCGAGTCCAGGAAGATCACAGGCCAGTGGGTGGAAAGTCTTGTGGATCCAGTGATAGTAGAAGCATCTCAGAGCTGGCAGGGGCCTCCACGTGGCTCCTCCAGCTCCCAGGGCTCTAGCATAGCTCCTTGTGTCTTGTCAGAAGGAATGTCTTGCAGGGAGTGAGCCTGTGTCCCGCCTCCAATGAGCTATTTATTTATCTCCTCAGTGCCTCCGAAAGAGGTTATCAGTTATCAAGCTGCAACCTGATTGACAGGCTAAACTCCACCCCTTCACTCTTCAGTCTCAAATTGACAACAGATTATATAATCACCACAGCCTCTCACAGTATCTGATTCCTTTCCATCTGTTGCTAGATTTTCTTTTCCGGGAAAGACTTGCTGTTGCGTGGCTGCCTGCTGGGTCTCAGTACGGGGTCCTCTCGTGTCCTTTCCTTCCCATCGTCTTTCTCTGCTTTTCAGGACATTCTCTCTGTCCTTTCTTCCAGGCCTGCTGGGAGGGTTGTCATTTCTGCTGCGCCTCATTGTCAAGGGCCTGCCACGTGTCTAGTAGCTTTCTGTCTTGGCCCTTTCTCGAGGGTCATCGTTCTTTGCTTTTCCATTCGTTGCCCAGTGTGCTCGCTGCACCTGCCCTCTGCCTGCTTCTGAGAGAAAGAGCCCCCAAACCTGGTGCCACCCTGAGCAGATGGGTGAGGGGGTTGTCACTGTGATGACAAAGCAGGGGTGGCAGGGTGAGGGGGCCCACTGTGAGAACATGACGGATGCTGGCATGTGAGTGGGCACTACCAAAGGACAAAGTGGACTGACTTAAGTGTTTGGGGAAAACCACCTCACATTGTAGCTTCAGTTCCTGGCTCTGGGTTGGTCTAGGCTCTCCCAGAAGGTGTCTACACCCTTCTGCTGGCATCCTAGGAACCAAGACTGGCAGCAGCACCCAGTGTACCTGACAATCAATCACCCCGAGCTTCTGGGCCTGGCCTCTCACCACCAGCCCGGCCTCTGTTAGGATGGAAAAAGCACAGGTGTGCGCCCCCAAAGCCAGTCCTACTGTGCAGGCAGTAAGCCAAGCCCTCTAAGGGGGCAGCAGCCCCACCCAGCTTCCTCCCAGTTCTATTTGCTCCTTCACCCACATGACCAGAGTGCCTGATCCCACCCTCCCCTGAGTTTTTAGAGGGTTCTTGGGATAAAGAGGTTGGCTGTCTTTCCCAGTTTTCCCTGCTGCTGGCTTGGTATTGATTTCAAGCAGATCTGTTAAACCAGTTACCTTGGGCCCATCCCCTTCCAGAGCAGAAAATCCCAGGGCGGCTTCTTCTGTTCTTTCCCCTACTTTTGTGTATTTTAAGATTGAAGAAAAGGAAAATAAAAAGCTCTGTTACAGTTTTTCCTGAGGTTTCAAGATGGAACATTTCATAGGAAGTTAGCCAGATGCTGTTGTTACAGGTTCCCACTTGCTCTGTTCTTCAGTATAGGCGGTCCCCAGGTTACAGGCGTGGGGCTTGCATTCAACCTAGGCTTAAACACCAAATCCCTGTAAAGCCTATTAAGGTGACCAGATGTCCCACTTTTGGCGGGACAGTCCTGATTTTTAACAATTTGTCTTGCGGCGTTTTTAAAAAGTCCCGATTTTTGGAAAGAATGCCCGACAAGTTAGGGTAGACGGTTTTCGGCTGCCATGTGGCTATTTCACCAGGATATGAGTTTTATCAATGGTGTCCCGCTTTACCAATGTTAAAATCTGGTCACCTTATACTAAGTTCAAGGAACCTACCACAGTAATGCAGCAAAATGTTATCATTAATGTGTTAAAAAGAGTTGAAGAATGTATCAGCAAGTGTTTCTTGAATTTTTTTCAAGTGTTGACATATCATTCAAGCACCGTACAACTCAATGTTTTAAGTGTACCAAAGAGAGTTGTGTGCTTGTTACCATAGTCAGCTCTAAAACATGTTTTTCATTCTTTGTATCTTCACTGTTTTATGTATAGCGAAGTACACTATATACTCGGACACACACTTGACAACCCCAGGCTAGGGAATGGAACTTGTCACTCGGGACTATCCTTACCAGAGACCCGGACTTGTCCGCTCCTAATGGCCTCGTTTGGCAGATGCTCCTTGCAGGGCCTCCTTTGCAGCTTGGTTGTGAGCTGCAGGCTCCTGGTGTTGATTCTCCCACTGGCAGTGCTGCCACAGGTCCTGACCAGGCTGGTCAGTTAATTCCCTTTTCTCAGGTATGAATTGTCTGCTGCCTTGCCCTCCCAGCCAGAGGCAAGTGGCCAAACCTGAGAGTGGGCTAACCCAGCCCCTCTCTTCCCGGCCTCCAACTTCACGGCTGGGCCAACTCCTGTCACTGAGGGTCTGCAAAGCCCCCACTGCTGCTCCCCAACTTCACAACCCAGCCTATCGTCTTCCTCCCAGGGCGACTATCAGCACTACCTCCCACCCTTCACTGCTACCCCATTTCCCCTCCAGGTTGTTCTTTCCACCGAGGTGGTTTCCTCTTGGCAACTTTGGACTCCCCACTGGGCCACCCAATTGCTCCCTTTGCCCCCCAACATCCACCTCGTACACAGAGACACCTTTCAAGGTTTTCATCATGAGACAAACATTTTAGCAGATTCAGAAGGCACGGGGCATACCGCATGGAGTACACGCCCTCCTGTCTGAGCCATTCACCCACTTCCCCAACAGCCAGCAGTCCCAGTTTATGCACCCTTCCAGAACAATCCTGTTTGTCGTGTCGTGTCAAGGAACAAGCACATATGTTGATGTCCCATGTCAGGACTGCACACTTCAGCACACAACAGTGAGCACCCTCCCTCCCCTCTGCACAGCGACAGAGTGCCCCCTAGTTTGTCTGCACCATTGTTTGTCTGCTTGGGCTCTACCTGGGGTGCACCTTTGGGTTACTTCTTGATGATGCTCTGAGGTCATTCAGTACCCAGGAGGTGGGGGGGAAAGGGGGCTACAACAGTTATAGGAAAACCTTTCAATGGAGTCACTGAGTGAAAGTGCAGAGGGCACTGGCCATTTTGGATGTTGCCACGTCACACACCCCCACACCCACACCCCATCCCCTCCATTTACACTCCCCAGATTGCAAGGGCAGGTGGGCACCTCTTTCTTACTGGGAAGGGGCTGAGCCCCTCTGTAGGACTTCAGGTTGGTTTGGTTTTCTTTCCAGGTCGCATCCTGTGCCGTTTGTTATGTGTCGTTCCTTCTTGCTGATCTGCCGGAGCTCTTCACTAACAAGTGAACTCCCCTTTGGACTGTTTGAGGTCACTCTTGCCATGCTTTAAGTGATTGGCTTTGGTGCAACAGACTTCTGTGTCAGTCTGTGGGTCTCTTTCTTTTTTGTTGAATTCATGTTTATATTTAGAGACCAATCATGCGTGCTTACTTTTTTTTATACAAATCAGTTATTACAGTCTCTCTCTCTCTGTAGCATATATATGTGATTTGTTTATTTATTTACCCAGCCCGTCCCTGTCTACGTAATCTTTGATATGTAGTCCATTGTTGCAGTGATCATGGCGACATACCTCGCTGACGTGTTCTCTCAAACCTAATATTCTTTCCTGGAATCCAGATGAAGGGTCCAAAATAAGTGAGCTGAAGTTTTATCATCCTCCCCGCTAAGGAATATGATTGCGGTCGTTCTTATAAGACTGATTTGCTCATTCTTCTGGCAACAGTCATCCATAATATATTCAATCTGCCTTGCCAACACTTCGAAAGCATCAATTCTTCTGCCTTCTGTAGTGCCCATCTTTTGAATCATAAGTTACTTAAATATGACCATTGGTCTGATATATTTCTTGCTCTCTGGCATTACAAGTATCTCAGACTAATCATGTACATATCTTATATATAAGAAGGAACTTTATATCATGAACTTAATATCAAGAAATTATCCCAGCCAGGCCAGATCAACTCAAGCCCATATATTTGGAGTCCTCTTCAGACTCAGGTAGCTGAAGGCTGATGATGAAGAAAGGTGAAGTAAATGCAGGGAGATCACGGGCCTGTGGGTGCAGAGTTGTGTGGATATATGGTGAAAACATGGCAGGGTGTAGATAGCTCAGAGGTCAACTCACAGGGTCAGTAGTCCACATGGGTCCACTCCCGGAGGCAGACACAGATTCCCAGAAAGGATAAAGGTGAAGGGCAAAAGAGGGCAGCGATGCTCTCCAAGGCTCATAAACAGGCCTGTACCTTCAAGGAGGCATCATAGTTTGTGGGTTTCTTGTCATCATCCCAGGCAGCCCCTCTCCACTCTTGGTTGCTGCTATTTAAAATTCTGTGCCTTCCTCCTCACCCAGGATCTAATGCTGGAGTGCTTGTAAAGAACCTGCATTCTGTGCAGAATCGCCAGGGTTCCAGGTGCGTGTACACACCAAGGTGCCACCATACTCACCTTCCAACTCAGTGCTGCTCAACTCCCAGTTCCCATCCCTGCCACTTCCCTGTCCCCCAGGTGCTCCGTGCACATCTCGAATCTGGCTCATTTGGGGCCCCTGGTTGCCCTTACCCCACCTGCGTTTGCAGAGACCATCACCACCCAGCTCCACAGCTGCAGGGCCCACCTTGGCGGTTCCGGAAAGAGGAATTTTGTGCACTGGAGCCCAGATCCAGAAAGCTCAGCCCAAGATTTCCACATAGCCTGCACCCCAATCCTCATGAGGGGCCCTGCCCTCACACTGGCCAGCCCTGCCAGAATAAGATGGGTCTCACGAGAACTTTGAGCCCCAAGTACGGCAGGCAGGCACTCTGCAGTGCGGGAGCTCGTGACGGGTCCCTTTGTCTCGCAGGGTTTGCACCTCTGTGGACGGAGTTCCTGAGGGCCCACTCCTCCACGTCCCAGGGGACTTTGGAGTAGCCAGCCTCAGGGGCCGGATGCCGTCACCCACGGGCAAAGGTGTCCTCTCACATGCACTGCAACTTGCGCGTGATCTGGGAGATGTGAAGGAACCCGAGAGCAAAGACCCCCGTTAGGGTCTCGGAGGCCCCCACCATCTCTGCGGGTCACTGTCCTCTGGCGGGCCCCAAGAGGCCCAGGCCCAGGCCGTCCGAGCGCAGTGCAGGGTGGCTGCTGTGACGTATGTGGCAAGGTGTTCACCCAGCGCAACCTGCTGCGCCACCAAAAGATCCACACGGGCGAGTGGCCCTTCGTGTGCAGTGAATACAGCCATGCCTTCCACCTGCTGCGCCACCAGGTGACGCACAGTGAGAGGCAGCAGTTCGTGTGCGCAGACTGTGGCCAGGGCTTCATGTGCAGCGCACGCCTGGAGGAACACCTGCGCGTGCACACAGGCAAACAGCCCTTCCTCCAGCAACGGTCCTACCTGCTGCAGCACCAGCGCATCCATGGCAACCCCCTTGGGCCCGGCGCTGCCAGCCCCGTGTCCCCCATGCCGCCCTGCGGTGTGCCCGAGCTACACAGCCCCTTCCCCTGCAGCGAGTGCCGCGAAAGCTTTGCGCGGCGCGCGGCGCTGCTGGAGCACCAGACTGTGCACACGGGCTCCAAGTCCTTCAGGTGCGCTGAGTGCTGCGAGCACTCCGGCCGTTGCCCGCTGCTGCAGCACTACCAGTGCGGGCACAGCTGTGAGCGGCGCTTCGGTCACGGCTACAACCTGGCGCAGCACCGGCGCATCCACACGGGCGAGCTGCCCTACGCCTGTGCCAAGTGTGGCAAGGCCTTCCGCCATCAGGTCACGCTCACGCAGCACCTCCGCGTGCACACCGGCGAGAAGCCCTTTGTGGCCTGCGCTTCAGCCAGTGCTTCAAGCTCCCGCGCCACCAGCGCACGCGCACCGGCGAGAAACCCTTTGCCTGCCAGGACTGTGGCCGCAGTTTCTACCAGAGCACCAAGCTCATCCAGCACCAGCAACTGCACAGGGCTGAATGACCCCCTCGGCCTCCTGGGAGCTTCGGCCCCAGGGCATGCTCAATAAAGCCAAACAAAGACCAGGCTGCACCACCACAGACATCCTTCCTCTCCATCCCGCGGGCCCTCATCTATTTGACAAACCTCGGCCCTGCAATTCTAGCCGAAGAAGCTGGGTCACTCGGTCAGTGGTAGCAGAGTGGAGAGGGTAGTGGCAGGGCAGCCCAGCTCTAGCTGTGCCCAGACACCAGGCCTCAGCCTCTAAGGCCTACAGAGTGGACACAGCTTGGGGGCGCCTGCTGAGGAACTGCCGTCCAGTGACCATCAGCCAGAGACAAATCAAGATAAAGCCACAGCAAGGCTTGTCACTTGGGGATTTCCTATCAGGAATGACCAGCTAAGTCCTTGGTCAGTGAAACGGATACAGGAAAGTTGTGGAGGTGGGAACAGCAGGGACTGGAAGAACCAAAGTGTTTAGCTTCTCATGGGGCGCAGACTATGGGGGTGAGGGCCCAGGGGCCTGAGGTGAGATCCTTGAGGCGATCTGGTGTGGGTCTCTCTAAGGTCCCTGGTGAACCTGATTTGGGGTAGGTAGAAGAACCCAACACCTATTGATGCCCCTGGGAAGACTAGCCAAAAAGAAGAGGCATTGCTGGAGACCTCCCTTTCCATCCCCTAAGGCGCTCAGGGCCTGATGAGGAGCTGTTGGCCTGGAGGAAGTTGGGGGGCTGTCCCACCCCATCCCTATGCTGCTTGCTGGAGGGCAGATGTGGAGCACGGAGGCAGGAGTTTAACAGGCAGCCAGTTGGGTCTGAGGCTGTGACCACTGGGCAAGAGGTTTGGAAAGCCTCTGCAGTCCTGAGCACTGGGGGAAGGGACCTTTAGAGCAGTAAAAAGAGGTTTGGAGCTCAGCATTGAGGACAGACAGACGACCAGTCACCGAGGGATCCTGAAGAGTCAGGTATAGGGCAGGTCCAAAGAGGTGGCAGCTCCCTGAGTTGAGGCCAGGGAATCACTTTGGTCAGCAGGCTAGGGTTTTAAGCAGCAACAGAGGTGAATCGTGTGGGTAGGGATGGCTCCCCTGTGATATCAGAGCTGGACCAGGGTCGATCTTTGGAGATGTGGGTCCTTTGCATCACCACCTGACCACACCAGGCCACCCAGGCCCCTTAATCACCCAGACTACATCCCCTAGGATGATCTGGTTGGCTAAAACTGGTCACCACTATGACAGCTGCCAAAGTGCCTTGGCGGGGGTACCTAGCCGTGTGGCTCATCTCTCAAATCCTCCAAGCCACTAGGACCCCTCACTGGACCGGATTTTCAATCCGCAAACCCATGATTGCCACGGTGACTGCAGGAGGGTTGCAGTCTCACCCCGGCCCTCTGAAGGATGCTGAGATGTGATTGGACAGAATGAGCCCTACACGTCGCCGACCCTACCCCTGAGAGTAAGGGGCTCCAAGCACACCTAAGAAGCCAGAGCAAGGCTAGCCACGCCTCCTCCCAGCCCACCCACCCCAGCACCGCTGGCCATCCATCTCAGTGCTTATCCGCTCTCTGCCACAATGCATGTTTTATTCGTTAGTCGACCCTGGTCCAAAATGTCCACGAGTAAGGTATCTTTGGATTTGTAATGGGACCCTGGCGGTGCTCGACCCCACGGACTCTAGGCAGCACCTCCGGTCTCCCCACCCCCGGCCTACACGCCATCACCTTCCTAATGTAAGTGACCACTGTCTCGTCCCCACCTGCAGCTCTCCACACCTACAACTAAGGGTGGTTTCACGGCGCGAGGCAGTAACCCTAAGCCCCATTCAAAAATGGCGGGGACCCCCTCCTATCCTATTCCAAGAATATCTCCGTAATAAGTGTCTGCGGAACAGCCGTACGCGTCTACAGCCTCCAAAACGGAAACGCCCGAGTTCAGCCGAAAGAACCCGAACTCAAATCCATCTCAGAGCAACGCGATTCGGCCGACGCAGCGCCGGTAGCGGCGCAGGCGCAGAGCGCAGGCCGAACGGGAAGAGCAATATCGGGGAGGCGACGGAAATACTCGAAGTGACTGGGCGCCCGAGGCCGTTGCCGACCTCCACTTCCAACTCGCTGCTGTCGCCGGAGCCAGACTTCCTCCAAGACACGGCCACCGCCGACGCCGCCTCCTCCCACGCCGAAGCGCAGCCCCCTCACGAAAGAAGCAAGCGAGTGGCGCGGCCAGACTATCACCGCAGCAGGGCCAGAGGAAACCTGAGTCGCCGAGGGGGAGGAGGAAGCGGCCCGGTGGGGGCGGGGCCGAACGCAGCCCGAGCTCCGCCGAGTTCACCCGAGCACTGCCGAGTCTACCCGAGCGCTGCCGAGGAAGCCGGACCAGGCCAGAGCCGGGCTACGGG